TACATTTTACTATTCCAAATTGCTAAAATATTATTATATTGTAGCTTAAACTTCTTTATATAACTAATCATCCCAATGTTGTAAAATTCTATAGAATCTCACAATGTAAGTATTATAGTATTTAATTTTAAGGTAAATATAATCTTAAACGGCAATTCTAATCTCAAATTCTTTACAAATTTTGAAAGCACCGGAGGATAATTTTATGATAGTACTGCAGCTTGCCACTGATGGTAATCTACGAGATCATTTACTAAGTAAGCAAGAAAAGAATATTTATAAGATTTTATGGACATAACTTATTCAAATCGCAAAAGATATTACACTTGGATTGATGCATTTACACGAGAAAAACATTGTTCATCGGGATTTGGTAAGGTTAAAAAAACTTCTAATTCTCATCTAAATTGAGTTAATTTAGTCTTATATGCAAAATTTCTTAGCATGCAAAGAATATTCTAATAAATGATGGCAGAGTCTTGATTACTGACTTTGGAATATCATCATTATTATCGATATGCACAGAATAGGAGCTCATTTTGTGTATTGTAATTTTGGTTAAACAAAGCCAATTTACGTAAGATTAATTAATGTTGAATACTAAATATCCACTCAAAGTTTTGTTTTTTGCGTCTTTAATTAGACCGAATACTAAATATCTACTCAAAGGTTTTTTGCGTCTTTATTTTTTTCTCCTTTTCAGTTTATCTTTCAACGCTCAACTTCTTGTTTAACTCGTTTATACATTAATCCAATCCACGTACACTGTCTCAAGAGGCAAATCAATAAAACTTAGAATTTGTTTATTTAACGATTATGGAAAAAGTTTTATTAGGTATTCGTTTATTCAAGCGATCGTGAAAGAAGTTCAATCACATACTTTGTCGACCCTATTTAATTAACAAACAAACTCTCTTAAACTATTTTTATCTGTCATTAATTGTCATAATCATGATTCAATCAATGTCCGTATGTACATACAATTGTTCGTAATCTACATTATCTGCATTGTTTACTATCATATACAGACCCCGACAATGTACGTTAAGTGGGTCAATAATAATGAAAAAAAAATTTTTTTTTCGAGTGGGTCAATAATGATGTTTTTGCCTACAATAAACAAACTACCAAACATAAATAATAAAAATATAATTAATTAAGAAAATATTTATTTCTGTAATATAATGGAATAAGAGATTGTAGAACTTTTGATAACTGAAAAAAAGAATTAATACGGTAGCGCCTTCTTAAGTGCATATTACACAAACAAATATTTATATAAATTAATTTAAAATATAAATTCAGGAATTTGCTCTCGATTTCTACGGCACTAAATATATTCTGAATATATTTTCGTATCATACAGCTTGCTAGTATACATTTCTTGAGAATGTATTTGTTTAA